TTTATGTTTTTTTATTGTTTCTCACTTAGATAGTTGCATTGCTTTCTTGCTTTTCGTTCATCTGTTTTATCCAAGGCCCGAGGAAGATCTGTAGCATCGATGATACCATTTAGCAAAGTAGTACGTCATGACGTCATTCCACGTGAGCCTCACCTCCGGCCGGGATCCGCCCTTCGGCGAGTCTCTCCTCGTCTCTCTCCTTCCGCGGCGATCAAGTAAACATTGACCTGGGAGAGAGACGAAGAGGTTATAACTACTTGATCTTCTCTCTACTATTGTAGTTATAAGATATAAAGACTTCTTGTTGGTGGCATGGTCTAACGCGTCTCTAATTGCACGTCCATTCTAACGTTCACATTCACAGCAGAAACATCCTAAGCAAACAAACAACCAATTGACCAGCTGGTACACCCATCATGGTGGCCGAAAGCGACTTCAACCGCGAAGACCCAGTAGACAATGGCGGCCCCATTGACCCTCGCGACCCCCGTGCACGCTTCAGGCAATACTCCACGCGCATAGAGATGCCGGAGCTATCACCCCTCACCTCTCTACTGCTCCTCCTACCGCGACCCGCCTTCGAGCAACAAGTCTCGCGGCAAATCTGCGACAACGTCGACCTAGGAATGGACCTGGTGGGACGACCGCTCACTCAAGACGAGACGGACGCGTTCGTGTCGCAGGCGGCGCTGCTCATCAAGGCGCCTAGGACGGGCGCAGTCCTGGGTCTGTGGGCGGCGAACTTACTGGCGTTCCCTGCGTTCCGGCGTTTTATGATGACGCCACACTTGTTGCGGCAAGAGCTGGCGCATATGCGCATGCAGGACTTCCCATACTGGAAGGCTGGTGTGGTGTCTGGCTTTGGCATCTTCACGGGCGCGGCGTTTGGGAGTGTCTACTCCGCGGCAGGCGCAAGTCGGAATCTGTTGACGGATGATCGTCTGAGGGGTTTCAGGGAAGATAGGAAGCAACAGGACCCAGATGTCATCATGAAGCGCGTCAGGGACCGCCAATTGTTGAGGAGAGGGAATGTGCCCGGCCAATGGGCAGGTAATCCCGCGGGCCAGATGGGGCCTACGCACAGGCCGGGCCTGCAGCCGAAGACTGAGGATGAGATGAGTCCGCAATCAGGCTACGATGGTGCTTCGTTCGACTCATACTCCGACTCAGACAATGGATCTGCGTCGGACTCGAAGATCCTTAGGGGCTTGTACGCCCAACAGAACCAGCAACCACAGCGCTACCAAGAGGACCCCAGCCAGTCAGGCGACTACGGGACGCACGACGTGGACTTCTTCGACTCTTCCTCGAACGACCCAGACTCGCCTGCGTACCAAGGACCCTCTGGTGGCAGTTCGAGACAATACGGCAGCTCCTGGGACCGCATCCGCGCCGCTGCTCAGGCGGAGGGCCCTGTTAAGCCCAGGAGATGGCCACAGCAGCAGCAACCACGAGAGGACTACGACTTGTCACCTCCCGCAGGGTCTGGTGGCCAGGGGAGGGATGACCCTGGGTTTGGAAGGTTCGGTGGCCAGTCGAAGGAGAGCGCGCAGCGGGAGTTTGACGAGATGTTGGAGAAGGAGAGGTCGCTGGGGACTGAATCGGATAATACCGCCAGTGGTCCTAAGTGGTCGTGAGCGTTGCTTGCTTGCTTCCACGCATTGTCATCGTTGATTGGAGTCGATGTGTTAGTCCAGTACTACTGCGTCATTCTTGTGTAGATATATCTTTACTGTGACTTTGCTAGTTTAGAAAAGACATTCTCAAATCAGTTGAAATCTGCTAGTATCTTGTAGCAGTCCGTAAACCTGGCCGGAGACACCTACGGCACGGCGTCGGCACTGAACTCAATTCTCCGCAATACAAAAATCGTCATGCGGAGTACGGGTGCACTGGCGCGCATAGTCTCAACATCTTCAATTGACCTCAGAAGACAGCACAAGACGAGCAGACTGCGCGTTATCTCAGTCCTAGTTAGCAAGGATATCATCTCAAATATCTTCTTTGACATCCACTTCTCCTGCCTTGCCAGACCCTCCGCAACGACAACCGGACTAACGCGCGCGATTCTCTCAGCAGCAACTCATACTCAGCGCAGCGCTACAACGATACGGTTAGGCCAATTGCTTGCCAGAGAGAGATCTGACGGCGAACACAGCTTAAGGCGCACATCCCGACCATGTCGCAACCCACAGACAACAGCAATACGCCATCGCAGCCCATGACCGATTCTCAAATCCAGGCCATGCGAGCCCAGCAGCGGCAAGAAATAGCCCAATTGCGCGCTGAACAATTTGCCAAAGTCAAGAACTATACCGCCATCGCATTCCTCTTCGCTTCCCCGGTGCTGATCGCCCTTCCGCCGCGAAAACTCGACCTATACACCGCGTCCCTGGTTGGGGCATTCTACTTATCCGCAGACCATCTGACAACAGAGCGCACGGGCGTCAGTATCGGGGGCCACATCACAGCGAAGATCTTCCCGTCTTCTGCGCCGGCTATATTCAAGGATCTACCGAGCGAGCGCGCAGAGGAGATACAGGCGCAGTTGCGGGCAGCGAGAGAGGCGCAGCTACGGGATCCGAATACGTCAACGGAGGAGGTTGAGAAGTTGAAGAAGAGACAACAACAGCACAGGGGTGTTTTGGAGAGAATATGGATGGGCAATGAGACCGAGGGCTGGAAGGAGAGAAGACTAGCAGAGGAGCAGAAGGCGTTGAGCGAGGGGAAAGGATACTGGGATTTGATCTGTGACTACATATGGGACGTGTGGAGCTGGGGCAACGATGACGAGAAGAATGCTGAGAACTGAGTTGGAGATGCATGACTTTCATGAGAATCTTACGGCATCCGCATATGTTTGCATCGTTGAGTTGGTGTTTGCTCTTCTCCGCTTCATATCCCTTGGGTCCGCAGGGAGACCAAGGGGAGCACGAGCTCCTCCATTAACAGCAAGCTTCTTTGACCGCAGCGGGGTACTGGAACAGCTTAGCCTACGCGAAGACTGCGAGTGGGCGCGATTAGGTACTGAAGCATCGGGCAAGGAGTCCCTCTTGGGCCATTCAGAGCGGGTATTTGAGGCTGTGTATGATGACCGTTTGCGGAAGTTCAGGGGCACGGGCTTGTCGCCAAGCCCAGTCTGTATCCAGCCTTTCTGAGGAGTAATCCAAGGGTTGATGTATTTGAGGACTGCTAGGACTGCGTCTGTCAGGTGTTTCTCGCTGTTGAGTAAGTGCCTGGCGGTAGGATCAATCTTTCGTGCTTAGAATCGCTCAATTGCTTCTTGGAAGTCATGCGTAGTATTGCTATCATCACGTCTCTTGAACTGGTTTGCTGGACATAGCAACTCGATGCCACCACACGATCGCAGTAGACATAGATAACAGCGATGCTGAGTTTAAAGCAGTGTAGCTATGTGTGAGAACACGAAAAAGGGAAAAAAATATCGACAAGGGCAGGATTTGAACCTACGCTCACGAATGAACGGCATTTCGATCGAAGGGGATTCGAGTGCCGCGCCTTAACCACTCGGCCACCTTGTCTTTTTCCTCTTTGTTTGGCTTATCTCAGCTACTCATCCAGCTTCTCGGACCGTCTCGAGCTCCGCGGATTTCTTCAATACGTCAATCTTGCGCGTGCTTCATCGTCAATCAACCAACAACAGACCTTATAAAGGTATCTGAGCAGACGATAGCAGCCTCTATCGTATACCGCGCAGCCATGTCGAACCAAAACAGCGGAAGTGGAAACTCAACTCCAGTATCGCGTTTCACCAGCCAGACCGCCTCAGCAGAAGATCTGCTCAAATCGCATACAGTTGGTCTAGTACACCTGTCCGAGTTCAGGAAGCGAAGAGCAGAGGTCTTGGAAGCGAAGGAGAAGGAGGCGCATGAGCAGTCGCTGGGGATAACGAAGGGTGACACACCAGGGACAGAAGGGGAGAGGTGAGTCAGGCCTACATCAGTGCGCTGATGTAGCGTGCTGGAAAGACACGATGTGACTGACACTTGAGCATAGCGATTCAAAGACAGAGAAACAACCTGCAAAGAAGAAGAAGAAGAAGGCCGCACCGAAAGCTAAGCTCTACTTCAATGATGACGACGAGGAGAATGAGGAGGAGGTGATCGTGCCAAAGAAAGCGAAAGACGCGCAGTCTACGGCAAAGGCGGCAGCCGAAGATCAAGACCAAAGCAACGATAGTTCTGCGCCAGTGCGAAGGATTCGAGCAAATCCGAATGTTGCCGTCCCACCTCCGAAGATCCTCACGAAGCCTGCTTTGACAGCAGAGGCACGAGCTCGAGATGCGCTACGAAAAGAGTTTCTTGCGTTACAGGAGCGGGTTAGGAATACGGAGATAATGATCCCTTTCATATTCTACGACGGCGCAAACATACCGGGCGACAGCGTGAAGGTGAAAAAAGGCGATCCTGTCTGGCTGTTCCTCGACAGGTGTCGAAAGATCGGTGCAAACCTTGGCATCAGGGGTGGCACGCAGCGAAAAGGGAAGGGCAGACGGGAGTTTAGAAAAGAATGGGCGAGAATCAGCGTCACGGACTTGATGCTGGTCAAGGGAAATGTTATAGTACCTCATGTATGCTTGCGCCTGCTTACACCATTTTCGGTGATTTCCCTCGTGCTAACCAGCCTTCGCAGCACTACGAATTCTATTACTTCATAGCCAACCGCATTCCTGACTTCAGC